GCCCTGCGGCCTGCGCTCGGCGTTCCGGGCCTCTGGGCCGCGCGCCCGCCCCGGGGCTGCGGGTCCGGCCGCCATGCGTGGACCTTAAGGCGCCTTGCAGCCTTCTGAAGCGCTTTGACGTCTCTGAAGGGCTTTGTGTTCCAAACTAAATGGAAGCGCTTCGTAGTCCCGGAAGCGCTTTGACATCTCCGAAGTAGCGCCATGCAAACTGGAGCTCTGGGTGATCGCGGAAGCACGCTGTGGGCTTGAAAGTCGAACCGGAGCCTTTGGCAAATCTTGGATCGTTCTGACTTCTCCGAAGCGCTTTGGAATCGCAAGCAGTCGAAGCGCTTTGGCATCTCTGGAACCGTGAGAACTGTGATGGGCAGTGGAAAGAAGGGGGAAAGGTCAGTGAGGCCTGCCGCTGGCTCTGACCTTCTGGCTCGCCCTCCCCCAGGGGGCCCCGGGAGGGCGAGGGTCTGAGGCCGGGCAGCCAGGAGGGGTGGGGCTGGAATCCAGGCCCCCTCTTTACCTTGCAGGTGCCCATGGCGTCGGAGCGGCGCAAGGTCAAGTACCACTGGAGCAGCACTTCGGGAGGGTGTCCCCGCAAGCGCAGCTGCCCCCGGGAGCCCGGTGATGTGGCCCCCGCCCGCCGGTCCGCTCACAGCTCCGCGTCGCGTTCGGGAGGGGCTGGCAGCCCCAAGCGCCTGAAAGCCCAGCACGAGGACGATGTGGCCCGCGCGCCGCGGCTGTCCCGGGGCTCATCCCGCCGCGGAAATTCCTCCTCCTCCTCCCATTCGTCTGGCCCAGGCGTGGGCGGGGCTGCCTCCCAAGGCGGCCTGATTCGGAGCACACAGGGGTTCCTTTCGTCGAGGGAACCCCTTCCGCGCCCTGCCAACCCCTCGCTAGAAGAGATGGCTTCTCTCGAGGAGGGAGCCTGCAGCCTTAAGGTACGTGGCTGCAACGCCTCGCAACCGGTGAAGCCCCTTGCACGTGGCTTGAGATGTTGAGAATTTTGGTGGAAGGAGACTGAAAAAGATCGTGTCCTTTAAAATCTCTGGGTCTTCCCAGAGATCTTCACGCAAACCCGGGAAACCAAGCGGTTGGCCAGAGGTGGCCTAAAGTTCCCAGAGAGCTAGTTTTCAAACTTGGCAGCACTTTGCTTGGAAAGCTTTAAAATACTTGTGCCTGCCTCCCACGCTGATGTAATTGGGCTGGGGTGTAGTCTGGGCTGCCAGATTCTTCAGTGCTTCTCCGGTAGTTGTAATGTGCAGGCCGGTTGGAGAATCGCTTCAGTGGCAGGTGGATTGCATGCTCAAGAGACACAGATGCATCTGTCTATTTTGGTTGTAAATTTAGGGAATTGTGCCCTTGTACTTTAAACCACTTTGAATTGTAGAAGCAAGAATAAGAATTTGGTTCTTGCTGCGGCTTTTCAGCAAAGTTATGGTTTCCAGCATGTTGGGGTTTTGCTTGGTGGGGCAGGGTTTGTTTTGGAGGTTAAACATTTAATTGCCCAATGGGAACACACACACAGGAGGGTTTCATAAGTATTTGGGAGCGGATGGAGGAGTGCTTCACAGAAGAGGTATATTTCATCCACTTTTAAAAAAAGGATTAATAAAATTTTCCCAGCTTTTTTTGTGTGAGGGAAAGTTGACCATGAGTCTGTTGGAAATAGAAGCAAATACAGTTCAGTCTCCTGTAGTCCGTTGTTTCCCGATAGAGAGAGGACAGCGAGCACTAGCTAATGACGCCGGCCATCCTGTGTGAGCTTCATCCACTCATTCATTCAGGTTTTGAGCAAATATTTTACTGAGGGTCTAGTTTGTGCCAGGCAGTGAGTGTTCTAGTTGCTTGGGATTCTCTAGTAACAAAACAGAGATCACTGCCCTCTTGGAGTTTGCATTCTAGGTCTTGGAGCTCTGGGCCTTAAAAGGGGAGGAGAAGTTCTACATGTGGAGGACTGGAGGAAAAGTCTTATTTGGGTGAGATGGGCTGCCCCTAGATAAAGTTATTTTACAAAAGCAATAAAAACAGGCCCTAAAGAAAGTAAGTTTGTCTTTAAGGCTTTGCTGGGTGGGTTCTTATGTAGACCTGAGCAATGAGGCTGTATTTGGGTGTTTATCCTGGGGAACCCTTAGGCAAAGTGCTCCAGGTGTTTTCAGTGTGGACCTCACAGTTAGAACCCTTGTGTGGGGACATGGATTTTTTTTTTAACTTAATGGTGAGTTGAAAAGCTTTGTCTTTGGCCTGAGAATACTGAATATGACTCAGATGTAAATCAGGTAAATATGGGGCTTTGCTCATATAATTTAGTGTCATTAATCCTTCTTGATACAGTTTCAGTGGATTTGGATACAGTATAAAATAATATTAATTGATTACATTTAATTTCAGTGACAGTTATAGATAGAAGCCTGGTATCAGAAGGGGCAGGAAATTAATCTTGCTTAGTGTTTCAGGTGTGCTGCATCCCTGGCTCAACTCTCGTACAGACCAGGAACTCCAGATTTGAGGATGTGTCCTCTAATCCAGTGGGTCTAATCCTATCATGGACCCACCATTCTCTCATTTAGGTCTTGTTTTGCAAAAATCCATTTAATGCTTAACTGTGGAGCGATGAGTCTGGTCCTAGTCTGGTCCTGTCTCAGCAGTCTTGGGGTTCCACCAAGGCCTTGCTTTCAGTCAATAAGCACTTGAGAGTTATTGCGTGCCAAGCAGTCTGTTGGATTGTGGAGCCCTGAGATGGCTTCTAAGGAGCACACAGTGTGTTGGGAGGGCTGGGGAAGTCACAAGACTGCCTCACGATGTGGTACGGTGGAGCAAAGAGCCCAGAGTGGAGGCTGGAGAGCTAGGTAGGGGGCAGATAGCAGCAGGGTTTGTTTGGTTTTTTTTGGTGAGGAAGGCTGGCCCTGAGCTAACATCCGTGCCAGTCTTCCTCAGTGTTGTAGACGGGACACCACCACAGCATGGCTTGACGAGCAGTGCACAGGTCCGCACCTGGGATTGAACCCTTGGCTGCTGGAGCAGAGTGCGTGAACTTAACCAATATGCCACCAGGCCGGAAGGGCTCCACTTTTATGACCTCGTCACTTCCTAAAGGACCCACCTAATACCATCACCTTAGATGGTAGGTTAGATTTCAGCATAGGAATTTTGGGGGGGCCACATTCAGATCATAGCTAGTCTGGGCATGTTGGAATCACTAGAGATTCCTGCTGGCCAACCTCTCATTGTTTGTTCCTTATTACCTCTAGGACAATTGTTTGAGCTTTTTTCAAATTCTCATGGCAGCTGAGGATCTTCATTTACTCCATAGAAAAGGTTAAATGTGTCTATTATGAGCATCTTCACCTACCTTATATTCAGTCTTCAGTATGACGTATCTAAATTTCTACAGTTAATTTAGAGAAGGAAGAATGGAAGGGAAAATTTGAGCATTTATGATATAATATAGTTGCTGAAATATGATTCTCAGTATTTGACCCATAGACTCTCCCTTAAGCCTCAGAGTCTCATGAAATAGGTAGTATTATCTTTACATATCAGTTAACAAATATTTACATATCGATTAATAAATATTTGAGCACCTACTATGTTTGGGCACTGGGAAAATGAGACTCAGAAAGGTTAAATAACTTGACCAAGGCCATGCAGCTTGTACAGAGCTGTATGTCATCCCAGATCAGTATGTCTTCAAAGTCCGTGTTCTTTCCGCTGCTGCCCTCTGTGAACACCTGCTCTGTCCTGGCGCAGCATTAGGTGTGAGGGGTGGAGAGAGGAAGAGGGCAAGATCCTTCCTGGAGGAGCTCTCTGCAGGGTGACACAGCCCAGACAGAAGAAACCATTGTGTATCTTGGCTCTCGAATGATAGAGCTTTCACGTGTGATCCCGCTTCCTGCATCTTCACTCAGCAGATGTCCAGCGCTTTGGGGGAAGTCTGTGTCAAGGGCTGGAGGTGCAAAGAAGAAGGCAGTGGTCGACACACTGGAAAAATCATTCATCACAGTACAGTGCGTGGAGTGTTGTAACCGGGATGTTTGAAATACCAAGGGTCAGAGGAATGAGTGACTAACCATCGGGGAAAGTCCTCACAGGAGAGGTGTCATTTGAGTTCTCCTGATGAACAAGGAGGAGGAAAGGACATTTAAGGCAACAAGAACGATGTGTGTCCAAAAAGTCTCAGGAAATGCTGCTGGTCCCTGAGGTCCCTTTTTTCCCTCTTCTCCAGCGCCTGTCTCCATTCCCCGGACACCTGGGTGTGTGGAGAAAGATGGGAGGTGATGCTAGAAAGGACAGTTGGGGGCTAGCCTGTGAAGGGCTTCTGATGTGATGCTCAGGAGTTTGGGATGTATTCTGTACGCAAATGCACAGCCATTGAAGGGTTTGAAGCAGAGGCATGACGTTACCAGATTGTAGAACGCCTCCTGGCACACTGTAGAGAAAGGATGGGGAGTGGGTGGGGAGCTGGTTAGGAACCGTTGAAAATGTTCAGGCTGGCGGTGGTGAGAGCTGGAATGACATCTCCACTTGATCTTTCCTTTCTGCCTTTAGAGATGCACAATTCACCAGGCAGTACTGCCAGGGAAAGCTAAATCTCTCCTTTCTGAAGCCAGGTGGTTTGTCTCTTCTCCTGCCCTTTCTGCCTCATCTTTGCCTCCATAGCCTCTCATCCGCTGTCGAAACTCTTCTTCCATGACCTAGATCTGTCTTAGGTCCTCGTGGCTTTTGACATCTCAGCCTTTGATACTGTTTCTCAACTTCCATGTTTTTGCTATCCTGCCTTGATTTCTAGGATGTTAGGGGAACTTGGGTTTGAATCCTGCCACTTACAAGCCGTGTGGCAGTTGCCCTTCTTTGTATAAAAGAGGGCTGACGGCTGTGGCAGCCTGTCAATTGTCAGTCGTGTGAAAATATAACTGATGTTTTTATATTCCTAGCCTTTCTTCCTCCTGCAGGTACAGTCCTGGTCTTGTCTACCAGGGTTGGCAAACTGGTGGTGCATAGGCTGAATGCAGCCTGCTTGGTCCTCACAGTATGTAAAATTTTGGAAAGTTCACACTAAAAATATATGCCTCCAGTCCAGACCTCTACCTTGAACTCAAAAGACTTGAGTGATCCCCTCCCCTTCCCCACTTTCTACTCCCTTTCCTGTTTTATCTTTCTCCCTGGCACTTTCCACTATCTAACATATACATTGCCTTTCCCCTGGTTTTTCCTTCCCTCATCAACTAGAATATAAGGTCTAGGAAGCAGGCATTTTTATATGCTTTATTGAATGCTGAACCCCCACATCCAGAACAGTGCCTGCTGACACATAGTAAGTGGTCAACAAATGCTTGCTGACTGGGTGAAAAATGCATTAAATTTGAGATTTCTTGTTTTACGTGAAAAACCAGAATCTATAACTCAGGGTCTGTACTCCTGAGTGGCAGGCAGCACTTGGCTTGAGGTGAGGAGCTGTGGCCCTTCAGAAGGCGCAGGGGCTCCTCGGTTTGCGGTAGACCTCACCTTCCCATGTTGTCTTACACCTGGCCTGAGGGGGCAAGGAAAGAGGCAGCTGGTCTCACAGGCAGAGGTGGAGAAGTCAGAGAAGGAGTGTGCGGCCCTAAAGGATGAATGGGAGTTTCTCAAGCATGAAATGAGACTGAGGCAAAGGTATCTAGCGCAAGCAGGGGAAATGAGATGTACCAGTGCCAGTGTCTGCAAGGGTGTGATGGGCCGAGGATGGCAGGTGGTTGGGGGTAGAGAAGCGAGTTGTGGAGAAGTGGGCTGAGAAGTTGTGGCTGTGTCCTGTAGGGCAGGCCTGGGGAGCCTTCAAGCTTATTTTTAATATTTATTAGATTTTTCTTAAATATGGAAAGGTGTAAAGAAAACAAAAATAGCCCATAATCTTCTTTCTCAGATAATATCCCTGTAGATTTTTTTTTAAATGTCTAACATGTTAGAAAATTCAGAGAAGTTCAAAATGAAAGTAAAAGCCACCTTTCCTGTCCATCTTCCCAAAGTTAATAGCTGCCAACAATTTGAGTACTTCTAGGAAAAAATATTGTATTTGGATTTATATATTTCCAAAGGCTTGATGATTTTTTTTTTAACAAAGATATTACATGCTTCTTGGGAAAAAAAATTCAAATAATATGAAAAGCGTATGAAATGAGAGCTTCAGCTCCTTTTCCTCTTTCCCCTTAATCTCCAAAGATATCCATTAGAAACAGTTTGTCTTTCAGACTTTGTGTGCAAATATATACATGTAAAGCACTTTTGTTTTTTCAAATGTGAGATTACACTGTGCTTGTTAGTTGGCTACTTGGTTTTTACTCTTACTATATAGCATGGCCGTCAGAGCTCCCTCATTGTCTTTAAAAGCTTCGTTGTGTTTGGTAGTATGTCTGTTCACTTTATTTAACCAGTCCCTTATTGATGGACATGTCTTGGAGTAGACTCTACTTTTCCTCAGTGGAGGAAAAGGATCAGCAAGCTTAGTGTGGGGTTCCTTTCTCTAAGTGTATGTACATTTGAGAGGACTTTAATGCAAGTGAATTAGAAGTGCAAGTTGTAGGGGCTGTAGAATGCCTTGGGATAATGGTAAATCCAGATCGCAGCTGGTGAGGTTTAGAGTTCACTGTTTTGGGGATGATTCTGGGGGAAGATTTATGGAGCGTTCTCACACCAGGCTGGGATTAGACTGGATCTGAGTTTCACAGCAAATTAATGTTGTGAACAAATAGTTGAGCTTCTTCCTTATGGACTCCTGGAATGAGTGGGTCGGGGGGAGAAGAAAGGGGCTGAGACTTCACTGTGTCTGTGAGGAGATTCGGGGTCAGGGGGTAGTTAGAGTCTCTTGATTGATCCTGGTGTAGTCTCTGGGAGACAAGGCACCTTCCAACACCAAGGTTTTGATTTGTGGGAAGGAGTTTTCAGAGAACTTCAAAGAGGCTTGGGGTACGGCGGGAAGCACTGTGCCCTCAGGACTCAGGAGATTGGAGTCCACTGCTTACTGGCCTTTGGGTTTCCTTACTGTTAATTTGTGGAATTGGGTTAGCTGGTTTCTAGGGACCCTTCCAGTGCTAAAATTTTGAGCTTCTGTTTTGTGTGTGTGTTCTGAAGTATGCGGTAATCGTTGCTCTCAAGGAGTTTGCAGTCTTGTGTTACTAGACTGTTGATCTCTCAGCTCATTCCTCCCACTGCAGTATGAGGATGTTATCTGATGAGCGTGACAAGGTGAGTAATAAGAAATGACAGCAATTCAGTCCCTTTTACAGTGGCACGTCTCAGTGGGTGGGCTGGAAACCACCACCCAGAGAGAATCTTTGTCATGGCCACTATTACTTTCCCTTTGATTAGTGGAACCACCACTGATTTCTGATTTGCCAAGTGCTTCTTATGTGAAATCACCCTTTCATAATCTCTGGTTTTTCTTCCAGGTTGATTCCAAAGATAGTTCTCGTAATTCCATGAACTCTGAATTTGCAGCTGAAGCTGAAGGTCAGAATGATGCGACTGAGGAACCAAACAAGGTCCAGAAAAGGAAGAGGGATAGACTTCGAGACCAAGGCTCTACAGTCATCTACCTGAAGGCTCTCCAGGGCATTCTGGGAAAGTCAATGCCTAAAAGGAAGGGAGAGGCTACCTCTAGGGCAAAACCAAGCACAGGAGAGCCTCCCAGCCGCAGAGAAGGACCAGCCAGGAGTGTCACTGTGTCTGCTCCTCAGAAAGAGAGAGAGTCAGCCCCAGAAGTCAGAGCAGAGGAGAAAAAGCCTGTTCTGGAGGAGAGCAGCTTCTGCGACAGGAGAGTGGTGATAGACCCTCAGGAGAAACCCAGAGAGGAGCCACCTGGGGACCGAAGGACAGTCATTGACAAGTGCTCTCCACCCCTAGAGTTTTTGGATGACTCTGACTCTCATTTAGAAAGCCAAAAGGTGAGTCAAGCTCATACCAAGCACGGGATTTTAGTTCTCTTGATTAAATGTATTTGGTCTTTCTCGTTTGATCCTAAGTGTTATTCATTAAAAGCAGTACTTTTACTTACTCAGGACTCAAGGAAACAAGTTGATGGTTCTCTTCTAACATACCTTTCAGAATTATTAAGAAACCTCAATTCAGTGCTCTTTTTTTTTTAGGATTTAAAAGTTTTTAGGATGTGAATTTGACTGCCTTAACAAAGGCAAAAATAACAGTGGCTTAAAGAAAATAGAAGTTTGGCTTGAGGATGGCTCCACAGTGTCAGGGACCCTGGAGCCTTCTGTCTTGAAGCTCTGCTGCCCCTCAGCATAGTTTCCATCTTGTGGTCTGAGGTGGCTACTCTGATAGGACTCAGGACGTTACACTGACATTCCAGCCAGTAGGATGGGGAGAAGAGAAGAGAAAAGTATACTCCCTCCCTTTTAAGAGCTTGGCTCAGGAGTTGTCCACATCATATTGCTCATATCTATTGACAAGAATCTAGAAACCTGGCCAAAACCTAGCTGCAAGAGATTCTGGAAAATTAACTTCCATCTGGGCAGACTTACACCCAGATCAACTTCTTTTGCTGTAGAAGAAGGAGAGAATGATATTGGAGGAAAACTAGCTTTTTTTTTTGTCAGTATGATCAGCCCTGAGCTAACATCCATGCTAATCCTCCTCTTTTTTTTTGCTGAGGAAGACCAGCTCTGAGCTAACATCTATTGCCAATCCTCCTCCTTTTTTTTTTCCCCAAAGCCCCAGTAGATAGTTGTATGTCATAGTTGCACGTCCTTCTAGTTGCTGTATGTGGGACGCGGCCTCAGCATGGCCAGAGAAGTGGTGCGTTGGTGTGTGCCCGGGATCCAAACCTGGGCCGCCAGTAGCAGAGCGCATGCACTCAACTGCTAAGCCACGGGGCCGGCCCAAAACTAGCATTTTTTAACATAGCTTGTGATTGCGGGGAAAAAGCATTCCTCTGTTCTATCCATCTCTGCCCGTCCTTTACTACCACTCCTCAGAGGCAGCCCCTTTTAGCTCTTTCTTCTAGTATTTACCTCCATATTTCTAAGTAATTTTGCACTGTTTATTGATTTTTAAATTTTAGACGTCTGTGGACTTTCTGCTCAGGAAGATGAGAATTTAGTTCTCTTCACTTACTTTGGCAGGACCCACACCCTTAAACATATTTTCTCCCTGTTCCTGCATCTCCCTGTGTTGTAATACAATTTTTGGCTAAATCTATTTAAGATTTATTATCACCATGTTCATAGGTGAGTCACCTAGTATACTCATTACATTTTCTTTCTTGTAAAAAATTTATTTTCCTTGGAATTCATCATTACCTTGTTTTTTTCTTTAGTTTTCTCTGTACCTAACTCTAATTTATCCCCAAACTGCTAGTGCCATAAAATTTTCCTCAATACTGTCAAAATAAGTAATCTGTCCCATTTTTTAGTTGGAAATGTGCCTCCCTTAATTGTTTCCTTAAGATTCCCTTTTCCTGTTACTTTTTGTCTCTGTTTTCTTTATGAGTAATTACGGTGAGTGTATATAATGATAATACGTACTTTTTTCATTTTTGACATACTTAATTTCTAAGAACCCTGGTTTAGTGTTCTGAGTATTCCTTTCTTAGAACATCCTGTTTTTGTTTTGAGCTTACAATAACTTCTCTTGTCTCTCTGAGAATATTAATTTTATAGGTTTGTTTTAAAGTTTTCTTCTGCTTTCTGCACTACGTTCTCTGAGTTTCCTTCTGATTCTTTTTTTTTTTTCCCTAAATATTTTCGTTTCTGTCATTTGTGGTAGGGCTTTTCTCAGATGTCTTGGCTGTCTGTTCCTATTTCAAGATGAAGCATTAAAAAGCCGATTGGAAGTTCTGAGTGATGGATGGGCTTATCAGCTGCTGGTGTTAACATAGGATGATGACTTTGGGTAATTTTGTGGGCTCCCCAATGGGATCTGTAGCTTGATCCTCAGAGGCTGCTCAGTGTCCCCTGGGAAAAATCCTCCACTCCTCTGCCTAGGAGGCATACATCTATCTGGCTGCTAGTGTCCTTCGAGTCAGGTTGAGGGAGGTGCCTGGGTTCTCACTGTCCAACATGTGATGGTCCCTCACCCTTGACTGTGTGTCTCTTGTCCCTGATTATTCCATAGGCTCCCTGATTCACCTTTTCCAGGTGTGAACCTTGGTCTTTTGCTGGGTGGGGAAAGGGCAGACCCCTCTGCACAGGATGGGAGCAGGGATCTGGGGATCTGACTTCACAGACTTCCAACTCATTCTCCTATTTTCATCACCAACTTCACCTTCTTTTTGAAAGGTCTGGTACTTCCAATTCCTGAGTCTTTCTGGGGTCCTTTAGTGTGATTCAGCCTGTTTCTGGGTTTTTCTCACTGTAGGCTTAGGTTTTGGCCATCTATGATCTGCTTATCCAATAACTATTCATCTGTCTGCTTTCTAGCATCTAATTTTTAATTTGCTTTGCTGTTTATTCTGTATGCTTTCTCGGTGTAGGTTTATGCCTTTTCAAGTCCATTTCCTATAATTTTCAAAGGGTTTTTGGCAGGAAGGACAAAAACCATATGTGCTATATTTAGCTGGAAATCCCAAGAACAGTAGGTTTTGTAACCTACTTTTCCCATTAAATATATAATGGTTGTGTTTCCTGTTTAATATAGATCTTCCTCCTCTTTGGCTACCTAGAATTCCATTGTATGGGTAAACTTTCCAAACTTATTTACCCAAACTCCTATTTGTCAGACCAGACATTTAGATTGTCTCTGTTAGCTATATATTTGTAGGCAGCATAATATAGTAGGTACAGCACATGAGAGTTGAGATCAGGCAGTTTGGGTTCAAATCCTGGCTCTGCCACCTGAACTGTGTGATCATGAGAAAGTCACTTAACCTTTTTGAACCCCAGTTTCTTCCTCTGTGTAAAAAGGCACGGTTCTTCAAATGTTATCACAAATTAATACAGGGATCAGCAAACTTTTTCTCTAAAGACCCAGATAATATTTTAGGCTTTGTGGGCTATAAGGCACTGTTGCAACTATTCAACTCTCCTGTAGTAACATGAGAGCAGCCATAGGCAATATTTAAGTGAGTGAGCCTGTGTTCCAGTAAAACTTTATTTACAACAACAGGCAGTGCATTGGATTTGGCTTGTGGGTCACAGTTTGCTGAACCTTCAGTTAATATGTGAAAACAGGGCCGGCCCCGTGGCTTGGTGGTTAAGTGAGCGCGCTCCACTGCTGGCAACCTGGGTTCGGATCCCGGGCTCGCACCGACGCGCTGCTTCTCCGGCCATGCTGAGGCCGCGTCCCACATACAGCAACTAGAAGGATGTGCAGCTATGACATGCAACTATCTACTGGGGCTTTGGGGGGAAAAAATAAATAAATAAAATCTTTAAAAAAAAAAAAAAAAATATGTGAAAACATTTTGCTCAGTGCCTAATGTATTGTAGGCCCTCAATAAATGTAACTTTAAATTTTACCATAGGTGTGAACCTAGGGCAACCTTGAATATAGGTAACCTTCCATTTTCATAAAAAGAAAATCCAAAACCCTTTACTTGGCCAACTTGACTATATAAGCCTTTCAAGGACTTAGATGACATAATCCTTAAGTCTACTTATGCTACGTATTTCTAGTTAACATGTGCATTTTTGAAATCACTTTTTTTCCCTACTCTGCCATTTTTTTCCCACTCATATTTCATAAAATAATTTTATTAAACCTTTTCACATGTGTCTTTGACGTGGTCTTTGTTGTCACTAGAGTTACTTTTTGAGTCATGTAATGTGATTTCCTGAACTTCCATAATAATAAGAATGAGAGGGCCGGCCCCGTGGCTTAGTGGTTAAGTGCGCACGCTCCGCTACTGGCGGCCCGGGTTCGGATCCCGGGCGTGCACTGATGCACCGCTTCTCTGGCCATGCTGAGGCGGCGTCCCACATACAGCAACTAGAAGGATATGCAACTATGACATACAACTATCTACTGGGGCTTTGGGGAAAAAACAAAGGGAGGAGGATTGGCAATAGATGTTAGCTCAGAGCCAGTCTTCCTCAGCCAAAAGAGGAGGATTAGCACGGATGTTAGCTCAGGGCTGATCTTCCTCCCCAAAAAAAAAAAAAGAGAGAGAGAATCTGACTCAGGAGGTCTGGGATGGGACCTGGGAATTGGTGTTTTTTTTAAGAAATACCCCTGGATGGTAGAGAAGTTTGGGAAGCAGCCAGAAGCACCCTTCCATCTGAGTTGGATTTTTATTTCAACTTATGTTATTTTTATTTTAACTTTTTATTTTGGAAATTTTAAAACATTTATGAACATTACCCACATACCCATCATTCATCTTCAACAATTATTAACTCACTGCCAATCTTGTCTTGTTTTATCTCTGTATCTCTTTTCTCTCCACGAATTTTGAAGCAAATTCCAGCTACCATATCATTTCATCCATAAATATTTCAGTGTGTATCTCAAAAAAATATAGGATCTTTAGAAAAAAACCCAAACACGAGTATAATTTTATTATCTCATATACACAAAATCCTTAATATCAACTAGCCAGTCAGTGATTAAATTTCCCTGTTTGTTTCATGATTGTTTTAGTTTGAAACAGGATCCAAATAAGAGCCATATGTGGCAATTTCTAAATATGTTAAGTCTCTTAGTCTCTGTAGATTCCTCCCCTTGCCCCTGAATTATAATTTATTTCTTGTAAAAAACAGGGTCTTTTGTCTTGTAGAGTTTCCTGCAGCCAAGATTTTGCTGTTGTGATGTAGGACTTTTTGAATCTGTGTATGGTTCTGTCCCTGGAAATTATATCCCAAGTTGCAAATAGCTGTTCCCATCACATTCAGGCAGTTTGTTCATTTTTTTTCTAGAGGTGTATTTTTGGGATTGCCACAATGTAACAACCTCTAATTATTTTTTAGATTACTTTTTGAGTAAATATATTCCCATGGTTCAAAAATAAAAAATAAAAGGTATTTAGTGAAAAGTAACTTTCCAACCTGGCCCTGTGTTGCCCTATTCCTTCACCTAGATACCACTTTATAAGTTTCTTGAGTATTTTTTCAGTGTATCTTTATGCATAACCACTTAAAGAAAAGTGAGCTTCAAAAAAATAGAACTGTGAGGTCATATCCCCAGGAATAAATATTGAATCTGTTACATTTTTTTGCCTCTTCTCTCCCCTCCTGTTTTAAAAACATGATTTTAGGCAACCTTTATAGGCATCCAAAATTAGCTTCGTTGAGGTCTGTTTGGGGTCATTTGTCTTCCTCAAATACAAGAGATTACATCTTATAATACAAGAGACTTTGTAAGGACTTGTATAAAATGATGCCTCCTTTTCTGAGAGAGCATTTTTGGGGAGAAAACCTTACCTTCTATTTGGGTATTTATTTGTAATTTTAGTTAGATTAACTTTTGTTATTGAAAGAAATGGTAAAATATATTTTGAAAAGCTGGATTGCAAAGTTGATAATTACGTGTTAGTGTATGTGAGAAACATTTTAACTTTCAGGTGCACATAATCAGAAGTAGAGTAATGATTTCCAGTAAGTCTCACTGGAAAATTAAGTGGGGGAAAAAAACTAGTTGAACTCAGGCAAGACTGCAATTTTTTATTGTCTGGGTTGATGGAAATTTCTATCATAAGCATGATAGTTTTTGAAGGATTGTTCTCCCTTAGAGATTAACTTTTAAAAAACATTTTATGGGAAATTTAAAACGTATTCAAAGTAAACAGACAAGTGTAATGAATCCCCCAGGTAGCCATTACCCAGCTTCAGGAGTTAGATTAAATTTTAAATATGCTGCAATTTAAGTTATGTTGCATTTTAGAAAAGATTCTTGCTTGGATATTTCTAGTATTCAGGAAAGGAGCAGTATTAGGGAAAAATCTACAGTGGGGAAAGTGTCAAATGGGAAATTTATAATTCTTTGGACTTATTGTTACCCACATTTGTTTCCTTTTGGAGTATTGATAGAGGTGTGGAAAATTAGTATAATCAATAGAAACAAAAATTTTTTGTTTCATTTTCAGGAGGTAATCATTTTATCCATACTGCTCTTTCATAGTGAATTTTTTGTTACATTGTATGAATTGTGTTTGCTTATAAAAATATTGTTAAGAAAAGAGCTCTGTAAGGTCTCTCTCTCAAGTCATCTGGTGCTTGTTGATATAGGTGGCTTCGTTAATGAGAAGAAACAAGGGCACTTAAGCACAGTTTGTTTTTTTTTCATAAGTTGAAATCTCTGTGTTTACATATTTTCAAACCTGATCTGTATCAAAATTACATGGAGAATTAAATACAGATTCCCTGGCCTCATTCTGGACCTGTTGAATTACAATACCTCAGTGTGGGGTGGGCCTTAAAAAGCTGTTTTTGAAAAGTTCTCTAGTGGTTCTCATGTGGAACTAATAAGTTCAAGAACCATTGCACCGTTCATTCTACAAACATTTATGAGCAAGCACTACATCCAGGCACTGTTCTGGGTGTTTGGGAGACATCAGTGAGGAAAATAAAAATTCCTGACCTCGTGGAACTTGGCTTCTAGCAGGGCTAAACTGATTTAACACAACGTGTAGTTGTTCCGGTTACTCTTGCTACCTAGTGGCATAAAATAACTGTTCTGTTTTGCTCTCAGTTTTGTGAGTCGAATTCAGAAAGGTCCAGACTGGGCAGGTCTTGCTGGGAGGGTGTCTCATGTGGTTTCATTCACGTGTTGGGAGGGCTGCAATCTGAAAGTTCAACAAGGCTGGACGTCCAAGATGTTCACTCACACGTCGGGCAGTTGATGCTGGCACCTACACATGACCTCTCTAGCATGGCGTCTTGGGTGGTCTCACTTCTTATATATGGTGGTTGGCTTCCCCGAGAGGAGCAAGCTGAGAGAACCAGAGGAAGCTATAAGGCTGTTCTGACCTAGCCTTGGAAGTTGCATAGTATCACTTTTTCTTTCTATTGGGTACAAGTAAGTCACTAGGTTGGCCCAGATCGAAGGGGAGAGGTCACAAACCCCGCCTTTCAATGGGAAGTAGTGTCAAAAAATTTGTGGACGTATCTTAAACCACCACAAATGTGTGGTTTTACATTTTGAACGTATTAGAGACATGTTGTTAGCAATGAGATGCTGGGCCCTGCTTTTCTCTAAAATCTCCAATACATAGTGTGTTTTCGGGAGCAGTTTTTCTCGAGCGGGCTCACTCAGAAAGGGAGTACAGGCAGAACATCCCCTTTAGGGATGGTGTTATGAGACCATGGTCACAAGTTGTTCCCTGAACCTGATATGACTGTTCATAGCTGTAACCTTTCTGGAAATTATAAGGAAACCAGGTGGCAAAGTGAGCTAATGGGCCAATGCAAAGCCTTCGCCACAGCCTGAAAAATAAGCCCGAGCTTATGTTCTGCAGATGACTGAGTATGGGAGGCTGTCTTTACGTAGGAAGGCTAACCCTTTGTTGTTTCTTTTCCTTTCTGCAGCCTAAAGAAAGGGAGGTGGTGATAGAGCACACCTCTTCAGGAAGTGACTGGTCCGATGTGGATGAGATCTCCACGGTCAGATTCTCTCAGGAGGAGCCTGTCTCGCTGAAACTCCCAGCAGTTCCAGAGCCTTCTACCTTCCCCACTGACTATGTCATGTACCCAGCTCATTTGTACAGTAGTCCTTGGTGTGACTACGCCAGCTTTTGGACCAGCAGTCCCAAGCCTTCTAGCTACCCCTCCGCGGGTGGCAGCAGCAGCAGCAATGACACATCGCAGGCTGGGAGGAGTAGCCGGGGCTTCCTGAGTGATTATTCTCCCAACTCTACGGTGAGCTCCCAAAACACCTCCAGAGACTTGGAGGCGACAGAGGAGGGCAGATCCCAGAATTCTCGTTCATTTCGTTTCTCCAGGAGCTCGGAAGAAGAGGTGAAGGAGAGAAGGACTTTCCAGGAGGAGATGCCACCACGTCCTTGCGGAGGACGTGCATCTAGCTCCCTGCCAAGGAGCCATCGGGAGCCAAGCCTAGAGGAGGGTTTCATCGATACCCATTGTCACTTGGACATGCTCTATTCCAAGTTGTCTTTCAAAGGGACCTTTACCAAGTTCAGAAAAATTTATAGCAGCTCCTTCCCTAAGGAATTTCAGGGCTGCATCTCTGACTTCTGTGATCCTCGGACACTGACAGATTGCCTGTGGGAGGAGCTGCTGAAAGAGGATCTGGTTTGGGGGGCCTTTGGCTGTCACCCTCATTTTGCACGTTACTACAGTGACATTCAAGAAAGAAATCTTTTGCAAGCCTTAAGGCACCCCAAAGCTGTGGCATTTGGGGAAATGGGCTTGGATTACTCTTACAAGTGCACCACGCCTGTCCCAGAGCAGCACAAGGTAATGAGGTTCTCTTTAGTTTGCTTATAGTTTTAATTCCTCTTTTAGTTGTTGAGACCAACAATAAGGGTTTCTCTACTTTTGGAACTAAAGAATTTAGAATCTCTAAAAATCTAATTGCTCTTATCCAGACTGTCTGGAGGTCATTTGTTAAATGCTTCACAAACTATATACAATCTTTCAGTTTTATTATGTAAGAGAGGGGGATACTTTGTGACTTCTTACGGCTAATGATATAAATGTCAAAACATTTGTTTTCCTTCCTTCTTGGGAAGCAACAAATTTTGTGTTTTTAATTAAGCAATTTATTTTTATTCTGATTTTAAAGTTAAGTATGCCCTTTGTAGAATGTTTGGAAATGCAAAAAGGTGTAAAGAAAATAATTTCCCATTCCACCAGAGATAACAACTATTACCATCTTAATATCTTTCCCTCCGCATATCTTTTTGAGCATGGAGATTTGGCAGTGTGAGAGTAGTTGTAGCGTTTCCATGGCAGTTTCTGATTTGGGAGGGAGCAGGACAAGAAGACCCTCCCACTCCATCACGGTCCGTGTTGCCAGGTTGAGTTTGTTGTATGCTGTCTTCCTGTTGACACCCGTTAGGGTCTGGGTCTGCATGCCCAGTATGCTCCAGGCCCTGGTGAGCAGATGCATGGATTCCAGCCTGAGCAGAATTGGGCATACCAGCTTACCCTTTTGGCACTGTCTCCGGCCCAGCTGGGTCAACCTCCATGGTGCACTGATGCTGTGCCCCATTGACACTAGCATCTGTGGTTAACTATGTGAACTGTTTAAGAGAAGGAATCTTTCAGAGCCACTGGTTTCTTAATTTTCCTTTGACCAAAGAGAGAAAGTTCATAGGTACCGGTGCTCTTCTGCTGAAGCAGGGGACTCCAGACCTATAGGTGATATAGGTTCTCATTTGAATACAGTTGTTCAAGACAGCCAATAAGCGTGCAAAGCTTGACACTTAATTTACACAAGAAACAACTTCAGATGTTCTGACCTTTCACATGAGTTTGCTAGGACCTGTTAAGGTTACTAAATTCGGAACAGGATGATTTCGACTTGAGGATCTACATTCAGACAAGTGGGTGGGATTTTGTTTGTGTGAATGTTTTCAGTTTTCGACTTTATCTAGTGAGTTTCTGTTAGAAATAGTGTTTCTGTTCAGAATTAGGTTTGTCTTGCACATTCGAACACCCTCTTGCCTGTCCAGAGTTCCTTTTCACTATTAGGACTAGGAAGCTTGCAATTTCTAGCTTGAGGTGGTAATTTATTAGCCAGAAGGGAATGGAAAAATAGCTAAATCTGAATACATAGGAAAAAATAGATTTTTATGAAAGTGAGACAAATATTTAATATTCTGCTTTCTCAACTGGTTTATGGCACAGAGCAGGTGTGGTATGGAAAGAGGAACAGTGCAGAAATGTATACGCTGAGGCAACTGGAAGGAGGGAGGGGAGTATTTAATTGTATAGCTGATGTTATTGAATGCCTATTCTGTGCCAGGAAATATGCTAAATATTTCAGAGTAACTTTTTCCTTTCTGATTATTTCCTTTTTCCTTTCCTTTCTAATTATAATGGTATCAGATCTGCATATAGAGGTAGATAGGGCATGCTGCACACCAGACTGAACTTGTTATAGCACAGGGTGATATATTCTTGCGGGTATGATTTGGCTTGGTCAGATGGAACTCAAGATGGGAAAATGGTGATTCAGAGGAAATAAATTGCTGGCAGGGGGAGGGCACGTGGCGGGGAGGAAGACAAAATATTTCTGTAGAACACTAGAGACTCCTCGCCTGGACGGAGGAAGTGGATGCCATGTTCTTGATCTAAATCTAAACTTCAGCACCGAAACGAGAAGTGGTGGTGACTAGCAACTGCGCTAGTCGGGCATCTGCGCCGAGGTGCATTTGCCTAAAAGCACAGTGGTTGGCAAGTTCTTGGTGTGTCCTGCTGAATATATTATCTTGCGAAGGGAAGAAGAAGAGCCTGTGGAAGGACCATATCTGGTCAAGTGATAGAGTGCCAGCTCTGGCTCGTTCTGACAGAGAGCTTGGGTTCTGTTACCTAATATTTTCTGAAAGGATTGGAAAATAGAGAAAACCAAAAGAATTGGGGGAAAAAAATCAGTAATTATCCTGCCACCCAGAGCAAACCACTGTTAACTTTCTCCTTGCTTATCTGTGTGTTCGTAGATTGAACTAGTGAACTTCCTATTTGACTCCTAAGACTCCTGAATAGTGTGTGTGTGAGTTGCTCACATCATCCAGTATGATTATCAGAATCTCCTGGTATCTGGTTTGAAAGCCAGGGAGAATGGACTGTCCTTCCCCGCCTGGGCTGGTTGAACCAGGCTGCTTCTGCCTCTATTTGTGTTTGACTGGAATTAATTCTTGAGGTGATGAGTATGCAAGAGCCTCCTGGGGCCACCCCCTGGAGACACTGATCAACTCTGGAATCCCCAGAAGTAATGGATCAGTGGGGACCCCAAGCATGTGCTGGGTGCACAGCTGGTCTGCACTTCATTCACTCCTGTTCTTTTTCAGCTGGGTTCCTGGGGAGGACAGAGGCTCTAGATAGCTCTAACCTAGCCACAAGTTACTGCTTCCAACGAATTCTTCCATCTTAACGTTTTCGAAATTCGGATGTGTTTTACAAAACATTATATTTTTATATTATTGTCCCTTGGAGAATTGCAAGGGACAATTGGTGTCTTGTCCTACAAGCTCCTGTCATAGAATCAAGGAAATGTGTGTTGTATATACATGCTTTTTAAAAAAGAAATTAGGAAATTAAAAAAAAAGTAATAGTTTTGAATGTTTGTTCCACTTTTGAAAATATTCCTGTTTCATTAAATATACTTTGAAAAACCTGTGTAATATTCTATCATAAGGCTATAGTAGTTTAACTACCCTAAGGAATAATTTTTTAGAAGCAGGAATTAAATGTTGGAATTAGAATCTCTTACAATCTCCTGCCTCTTTAGGGGTCCAGGGAGGGCAGATGTGTTGGAGAGGGGATCCAGCCAGCTGTAGATATTGGAACTAGCCTGTTTTTAAAGCCCCTGACGAGAATTCTGATTCTGGTTTCTATGGTGATTTTCCATTAGTTGAAAACACAGGTTCAACAAGAGTTACGTCAGAATTGGTATTGGCTCAGTACTGCTATTTTGAGAAGAGGTAGCACAAGTGTTAGACTTGAAAGTTTCATTCTCAGGTGAATATCATCTCACTCAAATTACCAAAACCATCTTATTATTTGATGTTAAAAATGCAAACATGAATTATATTCCACAGTTGAAAAAACTACTCGTGGAAACATTAAGTTTAAGACGAGGTAATTTGTTTATAATGGGTTAATACTTTTGTTCTTTATTCTAAACCTGAAGTTGTTAGAGGAAGGAATAAGTTCTAGCCCTACTTGTTTCATTTAAATTATTAACAACATGCGTATTTTACTAATGAATATTTAGAAGTGGCTAGAGTTAAAAAAAAAGAAAGAAAAAAGAACGTAATATAGCTGTAGGTATTCACCTAGAAGGATATCTGATTTTGATTGAGTAAAGAAAGCAAGTTGCAGAAAAAAAATATATAATATTTATTCTTTCCACAAATATTTGAGCACCGTCTGAGAGCCAGGCGTTGTGCAGGGGGGTGTGTGTGTGTATGCAACCCTTTGCATAGGAAAAGATGTGGAAGGTGATTACCTCTTGGGAGTGGGAATAGAGGCGGGGGACAATGAGGGGAAGGACATCTAACTTGTACTTTGTATTTCTGGGTCCTGCCCTGCCCCTGCAACCCCAAATAAGCATTGCATAGTGGTTGCTGTGTGGACTGCCAGATGTGAATCGTAGCGCGACAGCTTACCAGCTGCAAGTTACTTGACCTCACTCGTGTCCTCAGTTTCTTTGACCGCATGAAGGGCTAACAGCAGTACTACCTCGGGGTGCTTGTGAGGATTACAGGTTCTAAGAGTGCTTTGAGCACTACCTGGCTCTGTATAAGCACTCAGTAAGTGTTAGCTATTATGCATTATATAGTTTAAAAATCGAGAATGAAAGACAGTGGGGGTGCCCATTAGACTGGATGTTCTGGAGGTGACAGAGTTCTGAAGTGGCCCTAATCCACAGGTGTTATCAATTTGTCTTCTCCCAGGTGTTTGAGAGACAGCTGCAGCTGGCCGTGTCTCTAAAGAAGCCCTTGGTGATCCACTGCCGAGAAGCTGACGAAGATCTGCTGGACATCATGAAAAAATTTGTGCCCTCGGACTACAAGATCCATAGGTTAGAAGGCGAGAGCTTCAGCGGGCAAATGAAATGAACACTTCGCTCTGTCTCGGACATTAGCTGGAAAAACGAAAACTCAGGAGAACATTGATAATATTATGTCTTTATGTAGTATCTTTTCTAAATATTAAGTATTAGGTTGAACCGTATGAAATTTCTGATATTCGACCATTTTTTACTTATAAAACAGCAACTTCATACGGTCTGAGCTAATACCCTAAATCACCAAGAAGGGGGCTTTTGTGACTCCCGTCCCAGGTGGCAGGCTGAAATGGAGTCTCAGTCCTTAGAGATGAGGACTGTTGATCTTGGGAGAGGCTGCTGTGGGGTCCAGTAACTTAGCACACAGAGAACATACCAGGGCACCTGAAAAGAAATTGTCTTCCTGTTTTGAATTTGAAAGGTCATTTCCCCCTGATTAAAGTCTAGGATGTGTTTTATCTGAATGGTGTCTAGGGGTTCTTAAGTTCAGTTTGGTAAACTCTGATCTCCTACTGTGTGCCTGGGCGTGTGCTCCTCGGCGTTGGCCTGGCTCAGGAGCACCCTAGAGGAGCTGTGGGGGACAGACGAGTCAGCTGGTGACTTCTGTAGAGAGTGTGGGGCTGAGGTGGGCGTAATGTGCTGTGGGAGCCAGAGGAGGTGCCATTAGCTTAGCTGGCTAGAAAGGGGTCAGGTGATGCCTGGGCTGGCTCTTTCAAGATGGGTGGGATGAGTTAACTGAAAAAACAAGGAATTGAGAACCCAAACCAGGTCTTGACAGGTGGCAGAACGTGGTGGCTGTCAGGCATCTAGGCTGCAGCCTTTCAGGTGCCCAAGCAGAGAGAATGAGGCCTCTGACCTCTGACTGTGGTAGCTCCCACTAGAGATGAGGCACAGTCACCAGGCCCTTCTGGGTGGCTTGGTTGGTTTTCCACTGTTTCATTTTGGGCTGACTTTGAAGGAATCTAATGGGTGGCAGGTAGACCAAGGCTAAGATGGCTTAACAAAGCGTTGTGAATGGAAGAAGCCCTGAATTTTATTGTTGACCAAAATACATTGCACTAAGAACATGAACAAGTAGCAAATTAAGAGAAAAAAAAATTCACTTGAAGTCCCACTGCCCAGTATTTTTCGTTTCCTTCCAGTTCATTTGACTACGTGGACATAATTTTTACCTATTATAGTTGTAATCTTAGAGGGGCCGCAATTTTTAATTCTGCTTCTCTTTCTGTGTTATGAGCATACCCTATCCCTGTATTGTTGCTGTGTGTTCTTCGTGGCGATCATTTCAAGTGGTTGTGTAGTATTCTGCAGTGTAAGGGATTGACTGGTGAGCGTCCTTCACCAGGCGTAATCTTGGGTCTCATGGTGTTGGAGCCAGCTCTTGTCTGTGTTTACTGTGGAGTCCTTCCCTTGGATGCGGTCTTTCCATTTCTGGAGATTTATCAACAGAAAATAACTTAAAAGGGGTAGTATGTCTAGAGGGAGTTGGGGGCTGCTGCAGAGGGGATTGTGAGAGAGCCCTGATCCGGAATTCTCTTCCTCCCAGGCATTGCTTCACCGGCAGCTACCCGGTCATCGAGCCCCTGTTGAAACACTTCCCCAACATGTCTGTGGGCTTCACGGCAGTACTGACTTACTCCTCTGCCTGGGAGGCCCGGGAAGCTCTGAAACAGATCCCACTGGAGAGAATCATCGTGGAAACTGATGCTCCCTACTTCCTGCCTCGACAGGTAGGGGTGTCTTCAGGCTGAGTTGAGGCACTGAGGAGAGAGAGTGGGGAGGTGGGCGGTCACCCCTACAAGGTTGGCAGGGCCAGATCCCCAGTGACTTCCAGGTCCCACCTTTGGCTGTGTAGATGTCTCCTCATTGTTGCTCTGCAGAACCAAAAGTCTAGGGGGCTGAGAAGCTGAAGGGTAACCACTCTCTTCCAGGCAGTGCAAAGCCCTACCCTGTAGAGGATAGTCCAAGGAAACGTGGGACCCCGCTCACCCAGAGCCCCCCATGACTAGGACTCTCCCTGCACCTGCAGGTAAAGGGGTCTCTACAGGGCAGCCCCAAAGAGGTCCTTGCTGGGGAGGGAGTTCTGTGTAATGGCTGTGCACAGAAGGCACAGTGATGTTCTGAATGCTTGATGTCTTCCAGGTTCCCAGAAGCCTCTGCCAGTATGCCCACCCAGGCCTGGCCTTGCATACGGTTCGAGAGATTGCCAGGGTCAAAGATCAGCCGCTCTCCCGTACTTTGGCCACTCTGCGTGAGAACACCAGTCGCCTCTACAACCTTTAAGCAGAGAGGGTGCAGTCAGGAGTCTCCCAGAAAAGGTCATAAAATTCACATTATATGTTTTTTAAAAATCAAGACAAAAATGTCTTTTGCTGCATTTTCTTAATGTAGAGAATGGAAACATAGAGTGAGCATTAAGCCTGATTTGTCTTGAGTGAACTTGGTTTGCAACCTTCTTCCTCTTCTCTTCCCAACCCTCCAGGACGACCAGCAGCCTGACGGAACATAGGCTGGCTTTGACCTCTGCCTGTGTCCCGGGTCAAGGATGTGTTTGGAGAGCCCATTGGAGTGGAGAAAACCAGGCAGGATGTTTTCCTTGAAACCTCATCATAAGGCTTCTGCTTCCAGCTGGGGGGTGGTGTGGGGTGGGGTGCAGTAGAGGGGGATTAGGGCTGGGTTTTGCCTCCTGGCCACAGTGCTCCAGGACAGTCAGTGAAGGAGAAAGTGGCTGATATAAGGGTGCAACAAGTTTGCTAATCCACATCCCTCTTTTCTGCAGCCTGTGTTTTTAACAGTCTGTGAATAAAGTCCCCCTCCTACTCGTCTAAGCATATGTGGGCGTGTAACTCGGTTCCTGGTTCTCAGTTCTAAAAATGAACTCCTAAGTGGGAAATCTCTGGGGGACATTCACTGGAGACTTGTCTCAGAGGTTTATTTTCCTGCAACCCATGAAGTCATCCCCCTTCCTTCCCTGGATAACTCTTCAATTTGGCTGTCACTGTTGCTGCATCAGCACAGGCGAAAGGACCTTGGCTGCTGGTCTCACTGGTTCCACTGCCATCAATATGGAGGGGCAGAGGAGTGATGGTTGTCCAGGGAAAGTCCTGGCAGATGGCGATCCTGACAGATTGGGGGACTCAAGGAAGAGGACTTCTTGAGGAAGAGGACCCCAAAGAAGATGTTCCCACTTACTGATGCCCCCAGGGCTGCAGCTCCGGTGTGTTAAACTAATAAGGGTCCACTGTGCAGCAGAAGCTACCTGCTAGTCTACTGTCAGGGAGTCCTAGCTGCCCTTTGCTCCATTTTTGCCCCCTTCTGGAACACTGGACCAAAAATATTCTTCTGTTTCATCCCATATAACAGCCCCTTGATTGCCCCCACCCAGGTTGAGAGGTAAACCAATTTAATTCTCCAAAGCTCTGCTGGGCCTGCTCAGCCATGTTCTATTGCCTATGCAGAACAAGGAGGCCTGGTGTCTATAAATTTCTCCCCTTCCTGGGGCTCTCCCTTGCCTTTGCCTCCTCTGTGTCTTTTCTCCATGTTGGAAGTGAGAGCCTCTTCTTTGACTTTTGAGAAGCTGGGTCATCTCAAGTTCTGAGCTGTTCCCTGCTCCCTGCTGGTGCCTTGTAAAAGTATATTCATTACAGGCCCCGGAAGGTTATAATGGTCACGGGTTAATTGTGAGGACACTGCACTTTGTCCAAAAGGATCCTTTACCCCAATCTCCCACAGTGAGAAGGCCACCCTGAGTCCCTTTGTCTGCTTCTTGGAAGCCAGTAGCTTAAGTTGTAAAATCCATCACTTATGCTGGATTCCTCTAGGTGTTTTTGGAAGGTGCGTTTGAACCTTGTAAACTAAAAGTGAATGGACTTAACATTTCAAATCTGATATTTCCGTCTTGCCCTGATACACAAGTTGTTGGCCAGGGAAGTAGGCCTTGATTCACTGTCGACTTTCCGTGGATCAGCTGTGTGTTGTTTGTGCCTCAGATTTGCCCATGTGGGGAATCGGGCCTTGTTCTCCTGCTTGCAAGATTTGGGGCACTGCAGAGTATTTTCAGGGTGCTTTATTGTCACCCAAATGAACTGCAGCATATCCATCTCCTTCACAACAAGCCCTACAAGTCAATACTGCCTGCGTGGGAAACCAACTAGTCCTGGGTTAGGATTAAAAGTGATGACTCAACAGATGTCTCTGAGCCTATGCAGTCTCCCTGCCAAGGTAAAGCACAGGTGCTATATACTTTTTTCTCTAGGATTTAGGATTATCATTTCTGTGCTGTTACACAGTGAAACTTTACCTGTGAGGGTGTGAAAGCTGGTGGGCATTGTTTTTGATTCAGTTTTTGGATGGCTGACTTGATTGTTTTCGCTGTGCTGCTGGAATGCCACTGTATCCCCCCAGCTTGGCCATCTCTTTCTGAAAATAAAGTGATGGATCTTCAGCCAACTCCCATGTTGTCCATGTTTGTTTAGATTTCTCATAATGATAACAATGGTTTAGTTGTTGGCCAGCTTTATAACCTGAGAATCCAAAGGTCTGGAGACGTTCTCAAGTATGTATGTATGTGCCTCTCTGCACAATTAAACTGGAAATGAGAATGCATGGTACCTTCTTAAAAGTTCTGCTGCCTTTGTGCATTAACTTTCATTGCACTGCCTGGAGCTCAGATGCACTGCTGCTGCTTCGCCTTTGAAAAGTACATGGATGCCTTTCCTTTTCTCCAGGGCAATGCAGTAGGAGGAAGAAAAATGGAGTATATGGGGGTGTTGTTGATGAATCAGTTGTACTGTAGGCTTTGGAATGTGAACTCCTCTGATGCGTCTGGGTAAACTTGGGAGGAAATTCTGTTTCACTACTTGGAGTCAGTCCTCTTAATTTTGTACTAAGGTATTCTTGAACACAAGTGCACAAGCCAAAAGTAAACCTGTAAAAAGGAAGGCTCTGTTCCAAGAATGCTAAACAAACTCAAAATCTCGGTTGATTCTTCATCTTTGAGACACAGTTAGTGACTGTATTTTCAGCATATTCCTTCACTTTGTCTCAGTTCCTTTCCAGTTGAAAACAGTTGACTGCGTCCACTCAGTGATGGTCTATTTGTGGCTGAAAATCTGCTGCTCTTGGCTTTTCTGGTGTTTCCATCTTTCTGTATTAAGTTTGAGACCAATATTAATCATTTACTGTCAGCGTTTTCATTTTTGCTTCACTCATTTTTATAAAGTAAGGGCAAATGGCCACTGAAATACACGATGATTGAACAAACTCTGTGAAAAAAAAGATGGCAGAGAACTGTCAGTCAGTGGCCAGCCAGCCCTGTGATCACCGTAAATGCTCATTTCTCAGTGATCTTTGAAAGTGTATACAGATTAGGAAAGGTAGCCAAGTGTGGGCCTTTGTTCTGTTGGCACACCGTCATAAGAGAATTTCTGAGCATGCACCTATAAATGTATAGTAAGTTAAATACATGTGCTACTATACTAATGTACTAGACATGTTAAAGCGGAAAATAAAAGTGTTTTTGAAGGAGAATTGTTTTCTCCAGCAAATATCTCACTCGCCCCAGGGGTAAATACACACTGCTTCAGAGAACCTTAAGTTAGTGGTATCATTGAATGATGCATGGAGGAGGAGGTTTAAGAAAGCTGACATAGGACTGTATGTGAAATGCTACATTTTCTCAAGTGTGTCCTGTTTCCTTTGATAAATTTTATTTCTGCCAATTGTTGACTTGAAATTGTTCTCATCCCACTCCAAGTTGACCCAGTGTATTATGAAGGAAAATGAAGAACAGAAACAAAAGAAATCCCTTGGATCCTAGGCAGTAGGGCCAGGGAAGTAACGTTGATTGACAGTAGAATATGAAAGAGCACAGACCCCGAGTACTACAGCTCTGAATATGAGTAGTCAGTGTATTTGCTATGTGACCTTGGAAGTTTACTTAATTTCTCTGAACTTGAGCTTTCTCTCTCTTATGTGGGCTTGTTGTGAAAATTAACTGAAATTACATTAATTACATGTAAGTCTTTAGAACTCAATGCCTGGTGCACAACAGGAATGCAGCAGATGACAGCTGTTAGAATAATTGAATGCCTACTATATGCCAGGTATCCACGTGGGAGATACTAGGTTCAGTCTTGACAGTAACCCAGGTGAGTGTTTTACATGTGAGGAGCCTGAGAAATTCAGTGTCTTGGTCTGGATCACACAGCTGGTATTCAAATTTGGGTCTGAGCCTAAAGCCCATAGCTTTCCACCACACCTTGCTGCCTGGCCCAGATGAGAGTGCCTGGTGTTGTATGAATGACCTAGGCAAGTAGGAGAGAATGCTTGTGAGTCCTCTGAGAGAGGAGTAAGCCCTGGTCTTTGCTAGAGGAAGCATCAGGTGACCAGCCTTGCCCCCCAGGGTGTTGCATGCATCCTCTCCCGAGCCCAGTTGGTGGCTGCTGCTTCACCGAGTTAGGAGCTGGTTTCCTGGACCACTTTGACCACCTGCGGGCGTTGGATCCTCCTCTCTAGCTATTGAGAAGAGGGCTGTGGGCATGGTTAGCGATGATCAGGGTTGCACCCCACTAAGCAATAGAACTGGGATGTGGCTCAGCTCCAGGACAGAATGTCGGTCTCGGCGTCAGTGCTAGGGAACTGGGTAGTAGGCGGCTGGCTATCTGGAGGTTGACGGGGGTCATTTCCCTCCTCTTCTGCTTCCTTTCTCTCTCTTCCCTCTCTTTCCCCACTTAGTTCATCTGTTCTCCAATACCTTAAATTCTTTTAACGGTGATAACACCTTCCAATCTATTATTACTGAGGCTTAGAGGCAGATGCTTTTGGAAGCAAAGACTCAGTGAACTAAGTCACTGTGTAGTCATATAGTCAGGTGTGTATATAGTCATCTGAGAGATAGAAGAGTATGTGTGTGGTCTGCCCAAGGGATGGACATGGAATTGACAACAGAGCTGAGGCTAGAGAGGTGGGGGAAGGTACGTCAAAGAGGAAACAGCCCCCCATCTGGCCAGGTCTGAATTTTCCTAAGAGTTATATGAGAGTCGACACCTGCTCTATGCCAGGTGGGGTAATGTGGCTCTGCAGTGTGCTGTGCTGCCTGAATAGGATCCTCTAATAGTTGCCTCTAACCAGCCCCGTGGCTTAGCGGTTAAGTGCGTGTGCTCCGCTGCTGGCAGCCCGGGTTCGGATCCCGGGCGTGCACCGACGCACCACCTCTCTGGCCACGCTGAGGCCGCGTCCCACATACAGCAACTAGAAGGATGTGCAACTATGACATACAACTATCTACTGGGGCTTTGGGGGGAAAATAAATAAATAAATAAAATTAATAGTTGCCTCTAAGCCACTTTATGTAAGCCATGTAATAGCCAGATGATCTTGTTAAAATGCAGATCCTGATATAGTAGGGTAGGGCCAGAGATTCTGCATTCCCAAGAGGCTCGCAGATGATGGTGACGTTCCATAGACCACATGCAGTTCCTTGATTAGGGATGGCAGTTGGGTTTCGGTGCACCTGCCAAGTCTGATCAATGGTTAGTGCCCATAGGGCTGTGCCTTAAGTGCCAGGTGGCCAGAATTTTACTGGAGAAGATATTTGGCTCCTAGAGCCTTCTGTGATAGAGGTTTTTCCAGAGTGTGGATATTACCCCAACTCTCTCTGCAGAGGGGTACCCTACAGGTGTCTGCATGGGCAGGTTGGCAGGGCTTATCTTTGGAGTCTCCCTGTTCTTTGCCTTTTCCTTTCCTTTGTGATTGACCTGTCTATTATCACCAGCTCTCAGTAATCAGTTCACATGTTTATGCTAAAGTGTAAATGACTGATAAGTGACATTCCTCCCAGAAAGACTGGTGTCTTCAGTGGACTTAAGTTGTAGAACCTAAGGATCAAGGCTCATTTCAGCTGTGAGCTGGAGTTGGATATGTTTTGGACACCTACCTGTATCAGTGAAGTAGCCAAGGCAATGGCCAGCCTTGTCCATATGAGACAGCATTTGCTTTGCCAGGCTTTATCAGTAGTGGACAAGGAGGAAGGAGAAGCAGTTATTTCAGCCCTGTCTAGCAGTGGCTAGTAGCCGTCGTTAGCACCCCACTTATGTATCACATAACTTCAAACTCATGCTTTGGCATTCCCAGCTTCCTATTCTGATCTTGAATGTCAATTCAATGGATGTTGGCTCTGATAATGTCACCTGAAGTTTCTTTGTCCAGACAGTCCTTGCTGATTGTTAGTAAGCTCTCAATGCAACTTTGATGCACTCAGGAGTCTGACGTTTAAGGAAACTGTCTTTCTGTCTTCCTCTCTTCCCTCTCTCCCCCTCCTCCTCCTGTCATACATTCCCCCAATAGTCTGTCTGCTTGTATGTGGATCTAATTTGGTTTTCTAAGCATGGACACCTGCCTTGCTGCGTATCCTTTTCTCTTACTATTGACCACAGACCATAGACCAAGAATTGTTTGTTTTCAGAGAAATGTAATATTTTCGTCTTTGGTGAAATAAATTCCCATTTTGAACATCCAGCATACAGTCTGAACATTTATTCACCTCCTAAGCTAGTGCCACTCAGAGCTGGGAGTTGTTGGAGGAGCAATCTGAAAGCCAGGTGAGCGCGTCTAAGGTTGGGCGGAAAAGAAAGAGGTGGGCCAGTCTTGTGGATGATCACTTGTCGGCCTGGTCCTCTGAAAAAAGCAAGAGGTCAAATCAAAATTCTGAGTCCGCCATCCTGCCAGCGCCATCAACGATGGCTTTTCTTGCAAAGTGGTGACATTGGAGGTGGTGTGTTGTAATGGGGGACAGCACTGGCCTTGGAGTATGGACTGTGCCTTAGGCGAGTGCCCTGAAAGCTCTGACTCGTGGTCTCCACATCTGCAGCGTGGAGAGTGCCGTCCTCCTGCCCTGGTTGGTGGGTAGAGGGGACGCAGTGTTGGTGAGGGAAGTGCTTTGCAGAGTGCAGTGTGTTTCTGGAGGCGGGTGTTTGCCTCCTGGATCAGGAAAAAGTTGAGTGGTTTCTTTTTATGTGGTAAGAGGGGCTTCAAAACAGAACCAAAACCCTTTGCTTAGCTGGTTGCGGAGCCGGTTCTGAGCGCGGTTACAGCACCAGTTCCTTTTATTTGTGAAGTAAGATTCTACAGTAAAGGTGCTCTAACATAACTCATTTTATGCTCTCACAGTGGGTGTTAGCTCCATTTTATGGTTCAGGAAGCTGGGATCCCTGGGGCCTCAAAGCTAGTTAATGTGCTAGTCCTCAAACAATGGTGCACTCTTTGAAGACACCAGCCCAGCCCACTCGCCTGGAGATACTGGGAAAGAGGAGTTAGAAGCTCTGTTTGAAAGGCAGGGGTGGGGGAAGAAAACTTCTCTTGTGTCACCCATTGGGTGACACTGGGGACTCCGAGGGAACTCTTGAATTGACCTGACCCAGGCAAGGACTTACCGTTGGCCTCTTCCCAAAGGATGTCCTGAAGAAACTTCCCCAGGGACTGGCTGTGCTGGTGGTACTGAGCCCCTGACAGCTTGATTCCAACATCAAAGGGGGCGTTGAACTAGGAGGGGGGACAGGGAGAACCCAGGAGGTGTCAGAGGTCACACCCTCCCACCCCTGCCCCAAACACACCCCCATCTCAAAGGAAGGCTCTCAGGGTCTCACCACAGGGGCAGGGAGGGAGAAGGGCCTGTGGGCCTGCAGGCACCACTGAGGGACAAGTTAGCCAGCTTGCTCTGCCTTTCTAGACCATTCTTCCCACCCCCACCATCTTTAGGAGACTTATCTTGCACTCTTTCCTTACCTCTAAGGAGGTTGCTGATAAAAAGAAAATGTGAGGTCCCCTAGATCAAGTTTCGGCTCCCTTGCAATTTGGGAAGACATAAGGTTGAAGTGCCAGTGGTAGAATTTCAGGCCCTGGCAGGGAGATTTGGGGGGTAGCGGGTCTACCCGGTGTACCTAGCGCTAGCCTGGGTGATGGTCTCTGACCCTCTGCTGCCACCACCTCTTTCTCCTTTCCTGAGCGTTCTTCCTCATGTACACAGGCCTTTCCTTGTTCCGTGGAAAATCCGACAGGAAGCTGGCCTTTTCCTGGAAAGATGCTCTGATCCAAGTCCTTTCTTCTTTCTCTGCCTCCATCTCTTCCCTTCTGCAGGGAGAGTGCCCCCATTTTCCCTACTTTCTCGTCATTCTCTGAGATGATTGACTGGTGCTAAAGCTTTGGGTAAATGGGAAAGAGCTCTGTTTGCAGCCACATCATTGTTTTCACCCCTTGAGAGCAGAGACCATGTCTCTGTTCATCCAGTAGCTGCCTTGGTACCTGGCCATATGGGTCACTAAGATGAATGAAGGAATCTTGGTGCTGAAGGGAGCCTAGGTCATTGGTCCTTCTGCCCCCTGCCCTCCAGACAGGAGGTGTTATCCTCATTTTCATATGAAGCAGCAGAGGCCCAGAGAGGTTAAATGACTTGTCTGAGGCCACAGAGGAAGTTGGTGGCCAAGGACTAGAGTGCAGGACCTCTAAGTCCCCCAGCCCTGGAACTCCTTCTAGTCCTGGTGCTGCAGTAACGCCCAGCGCGCAGCCCTCACCCTGGTCAGGCCCGGGCTAAGCGCCCTCCTCCCGCATTTTGTCAAGTCCTCGATACCTCCCTCCCAGGCAGGTACCACTATGATTTCTATTTTACAAATGAGCAAACATGCTCAGAGAAGTATTAAAACAACAAATAGCTGTTTGTTCCCTTTTTAAAATTTACCTTCCCCCCTTGTCTCTGCTGTGAAGGTGGAGTGAGTGGGGAATGACATGGTTGATTTTTTTAGGGAACTTGGGCCCTTCTCTTCCCTCCCTTCGGTAACTATTCGTTTTTCTTCCACCCCTGTGGCTAATGTGGGGTGGTCAGATCGCCCGAACAGACTTCTTAGGAACCACATGAGCACCTATCTGGGGACCTGGTGGCAGGGGCAGTTGAGAGGTGGCATGGCGGCTGTTGGGTGGGAGATCTGCTTCACGTCACCTGAAAAGGCCCCCTTGGCCTCAGTGCCTCATTTCTTCAGTGGAGGATGAGTGGGGTGGGGCGGGGGAATGGATAGGACTTGGTCTCAAAAGTCTTGCAGATCTGAAACTCAATTTTAGGAGGAAAACGTTTGGGGGATGGGAGGGACCTGCGATGAGAGGGCTGGTACCCCAGGACGGGAGAGGTTTGAGGAGCACGTCCAGGGAGCTCCGAAGCCAGTGTTGCAGGCCTGCCGCCCCAGCACTTCCCAGACTTTTCAGACTTCTGGTTCTGGTTGAGGCGGGGTGGGCCATTTCGTCCAAGGCCAGCCTTAATGGAAACTGGAAACTTCCACTTGTCCCAGCCCTGCCTTGAGTCGTCAGCCACAGAAGTCTCTTCCCCTTCTGGCCTCATTTAGAGCTCTTCTGGCTGGGGTGAGTACCAGCCGGCTGGAGCAATCTAACTGGGAAATTTCCCTGGTTTTAGTTTAAGGATTTGCAGGCCATTGAGTGGGAATGTGGTGGGTTGGGAGTCTCACACATGGTGTGGAGGAAGTGCCTGAGAACACCTCTAGGTTCTGGTGAGGGTCAGAGGGAGTGTGGATTGGGGGGTTCATCCTTGACGGGAGAAGAGGCTGGTGGATAGGGAGAGGGAGGCCAAGGCAGGACCTACTGCAACTTCTTTGCTCCCAGGCCAGAAGAGACGAGCAAGAGGCTCTTCTAGGCCACTGTGCACTCTGTTTGCCAGACCAGTGAAGAGGAAGAGAGGGCTTGGGGACTGGAGTCAGCCCTGACCTGGAGTCGAACCTCTGCCACACCCTGGCTCTGGCACCTCAGGCAAGTGAGTGCACCTGTGTGAACTTCTGTTTCTCGTCTATAAAATGAGGGCAATAATATCAGCCTTACTTACCTCACAGGTTGTTGTAGAGAATCAACGATATGCAGTAAGGGTAATCACGGAGCACAGGCACAGCAGTATAATAATTGCCATTATGAAGTCCTTACTCCAGAGGAATTCTGGTTTGGCTGCATGGACGTGTATGTCACCACCTACACGCTTGTTGGAACCATTCCCTGAACCACAGCCGGCCTTTCAGGAAGCCTACATAGATACCCTATAAAATCCCTTTACTCCGTCCCCTCCGTTTATCTGTCTCCATTTAATAAGTCCTCCACTTCTCTCTCAACGTTTTCCCTGCCCCATGCAAGGTTTGTCAGAGCCAAAACAAGCCTGATTGGTCCCGTCCTCATTTACAGATGGGGTTCAGGGAGTGCTGGCCGCCAGAGCCAGGCTTGTGGGAGCTCGCCTCTCCAGGGTGCTATCTCGGAGTGCTCCAGCCCCAGGTGAGGTCTGAAAGGCCCCCGAGCCAACCGGAAAGTTCTTTGCAGGGATCACCTTCAGTCTATGACCAGCTGTTTCTTCCTGAGTGTGTTTATCTCTTGGTACCATATTTGCTGGCTCCCCTTTGAGATCACCTGGCGTCTGCTAGTGCCCCCTCTCCTCTGCTCAGGGCTCCTGTACATGCCCATCACTTGTAGCAAAGCAACTTCTCTCAGACATTTGCCTCTTGTAGAGCCCAGTGTGGAGTCAACTGTTTTCGTGCTATTTGATATTTCTTGAGTAGCTTGAAGTAGGTCCTTGTTCATAGCCATTCCCCTGCCCTCCCCTCATCCCCTCCACTGCCACAAAAGCATAAAACTCAGAGGGACCTACCTTGATCTCCAGCTCGTCCTCTGCTCCTTCCGCCTGACTTCCGTCTTCGGAGGGGAGCCAGCCTTCTAGAGCTCGGGGCTTCAGTTTGGCTGGCGGCTTCTTGGACTCCTTTCTGTGCTGGAAAGAGGAGGTGTTCTCTTTAGGGCCCATAGCCCCCATATCCTTCCAGAATCGGAGTGAGGCATGGGCCTATGGTCAGGCTCAGAGTCCTCCTTTGTGCTCTAGAAGGCTGAGGCCCAGAGAGGTTGAGCCACTTCCCGGGTCACCCAGCCGGCTGCCATGTGGCAGGGCTGAAACGAGATACCCCAGTTAGAATGTGAGGCTGTGTGGAGAGATGTCTCACCTGCACTTTCTGGTGTTCGGGGCTCAGGAAGCTGGAGCCCGCCATGGTCAAGTCCACCCAGAGCACGCTGAGGAGTAGCAGGCTGCGGATGGTCCCCAGGGAGGGCATGGCCTTAGCTGGGTGGGGACAGATGGGCCTGGAGGAGAGAGGGTCTGCAGGCAGTGTGCCCTCCCCTCCCCTCACTGTGCCTCAGGACTCACTCGGGTAGGAGCCCAGCAGACAGGCTGAGGGGACTTCAACCTGGGATCGTGACTCCTGAAGAAGCTCTTCCTTCCCCTGCGAGAGGGGCTCCCTCTGCCCCCTCCCCAAGGTAGCAGCGAATTGAAGGAAGTGTGTGCTCTTTTCCAAGGCTGTTGGTTCAGGGAAGAATGCTTGGCAGTGGGACTCCCCATGTCGTTTGTCCCAGGCCCCAAGGAGCTTGTGCCAAGTTTCTCAACAGGGATGATGAAGCTGAACCAGCAAGGGACACAGGGGGACGGGGGCAGCTCCTGAACCCAGCTGGGTCTCTGCAGCCAGGTTGCCCTGGGCTGTGCAGCCTCCCCTTTTAGATGGGCCTGGGAACGGCCAGCAGCCACAGTAAGTTAAACCTGGAGACAAACCCACACATGAAGAGTCGAGAGAGAGTGCCTACCTGGGATTCCTGGTGGAGGTGGTGCCTGGTGGCTGTCTGGCCCTTATATAGGAAGCCCCGTGTTTGTTTTAAAGCAGCATTCCCAGCTCAGGGGAGCCTAGCTTCCAGGGGCTGATCTACATTCCTGGGGAGCTAAAAACGCTCACTCCTCTGGGTAGAAGTCAACAATAGAAGTCAGATGTCCTGGGAGATTGCTGGGTTGGCTCGGGGTGGCGCATCTGCTCCAGCTGTCCTTACGTGGGCCTGGCCC